AGCCCCGCCCCGCCCAGCAGTGCTCCCCAAGAGCAGCCGAGGCCCGCGAGGGCCGGCGTGCACCCTGGGGCGGCGTCTCCGTGAAGGAGGGGCCCGAAGCCCCCGTGGCGGGCCTCCCCCGAGCCTGTCTGACCAGCCGGCCTTTGTGCATTCGGGCCGGCCCCGGCAGGGAAGCCCCCCCAGGACGCGCCCTGGCCCTCGCCCACCCCTTGGTGTTACACACCCCTCACCCACCAGCCCAGTAAAGGCCGCGACAGCAGCTGCGCCCGTGTCTTACTTTGGGGCGCCCTCCCCCGGGGCCGGGGGGGGGGACAGCGCGGGCTCTCCTGGGGAACTCTGTCCCCCACGGTGCTCCCGGGGGGAGGCTGGGAGGGGCCGCGGCTGGACAGGAGGAGGGGGAGGAGGAGTCCTGGGGGGGCTGGTGCCAGGGCCACTGGCGCCCGGCACTGGTGGGGGCGGGGTGGCGCACAGCAGCGTGGAAGGACCAGTCGTGGCCTTGGACGTGGGCTTTGGTTTATAACCAAGATGTGTGCAAACAGCTGCCCGCGGACAGCGCAGTCTGGGCCTGGAGCCCCGGGCCTCTGGCTGCCGGGCCAGGGGGTCCGGCGGGGCCCCTCACCCCTGCTGCGGCGGGCAGGGCTGGACAGGCCAGACGCGCTGTCCACTGGGTGGGGACCCGGCTCCCGTAACGCTCACGGGCCAGGGGCAGGGTCCGGACACTGCGGCTGAAAGCAAAAAGTGAACACGCTAAACACACCCTGAGCCTGGGCCTCTCGGGGGCTCTGCACCAGAGCCGGTCCCTGCCACCCCTCACGCCGTCCACCCGTGGCTCCGGGCCTCAGAGGGGCAGTGGGCGCCGCCCTCCGGGCCGAGGGGCTCGGCGGCCGGCGCAGCCAAGGTCGAGGCTCCCGTCCAGCAGGTCTGGCCACCCGGAGCACACGGCCTCGAGCAGTCCGGAGTCTGAGACCAGCTGGCTCCGCGGGTCTCACTGGGGGCCCTCGCGGTCATTTTGGGTGGACTCTAAATAAGCAAACGGGAGGATGTGAAGATGGGGGGACCAGCTGCGGCTCTCCCGAGGCCCACCCCGCCCAGAGCAGCTCCCGGGCTGCCCACCTGCTGCCCTCGTCCAGCCGGCGCCACCGTCCCCGGAACCTGCGCTGCTTCCTGACCCGTCCCCCCCCCCCCCCGCGGAGCGAGGCAGTGCTGGAGGGACAGGCCCCGCCGGCCTCCGGGACTGCGGGGCGGCGCCTGGCCGCCCCACAGCCTGTATACGGCCTCCATGACACGGCCCGGGAAGGGGGGGCCAGCCCCCTGCGTCCCCGCTCCTCCCGACTCCGCTTCAGAGAGCTGGGTCTCAGCCCCCAGTCAGAGGGCAGCGCCCTCACGCCCAGCCGGGCGGCCCCGCAGACGCTGCCCGTGCCGGGCCTCACCTGGCTCCGCG